TGTATCAAAAGATACATGATCGCTCAAGCGTGTATCACGTATGGCACTTAACTGACTGACCCTTGGGAAAGGTATAAATCCTTTTCTTCTCCCCCGATCTATGGGGTAATATCAGGACAGACTGGGTTCTATAGCATTGGATGGCAACTGGTCTACCGCAGAAAGAAATGGCAACCTACTGCGGGAAAAAAATCTGCCTCGTCAGTCATGTATCAAAACATACATGATCGTCTAAGCGTGTATCACCTATCGCACATAACTGACTGAACCTTGGGAAATGTATGAATACTTTTCTTCTCCCTCCCACCAGCTATGGGGTAATAGCAGGACAGACTGGGTTCTATAGCATTGGATGGCAACTGGTCTACCGCAGAAAGAAAAATCTTCCTCGTCAGTCATGTATCACAAGATACATGATCGCCTAAGTGAATTTCGACGTGATTTCGATAGGATGCAAATTGATTTTAACGTGATTGGTATGTATTAAATCTATTGCAGCGTAGATTGAATTGTTCTAATTCTAGAATTTAATAGATACGCTTGATCAATCATAACATTGATTGATTTCTTTTTTAATGTTTATCAGCCTTTTGTAAGTTGTTTGAAATCGAGATGTATATTTTTTGTATTCTAAGAATAATTCTTTTTTCTTTCTTTTTTTTTTGACGAAATAAACAATGATTTTCCAGATACAATTGCTACTACTTAATCCATAGTAGGGAGACGAAGAGATGGATTTATACCTTTCCCAAAGGTATGTGCGTGTTAGTAAGTGTAACGACACCGACTGGAATTCGACTTCGGCACACCGATTTCTCATTTCGAGCCGCTATCGATTACACCATCCATATATCGACAAAAGTAACATGGCTAAATGCAGATGGTCGGGGTGGAGTGCTTCAATGTTGTTACATTCCGTGCTAAGGGACTAAACACATAACACCAGGTGGATACTAGAAGAAAGGTTTATTGTACACAACAAGTACAATATGAAATACGGTACAGTTATACACACAGGTCAATCTAATAGTGAGTGACACTAACTGGAAAGTTGGACATGCTTACGTCGTCTCTCTCACTCGTCCTCACTCTTCCTATCGTAGACGGTTGCCTTTATAGGTACTTACTACCTATAATGTAATCATCTCATAGGGGTGACTGGTTATTCCATTACATCAAATGTGAAACGGATGAAAATGGAAAACTAAAAAAAAATATATCAGGCTAAATAACTTCGATTCAGATTATAGCTTACTCGTAGAAATGCCTTATTAAACCTAGAGAAAGGCATGAACTCACAAGTTTTCACAAAGAAACCCTGCTTATCGGAGTTCGGATCAAACAATGTAATACAATACGGCCAGCATCTAGTATTGGCCTCTAATAGCACAAGGGAAACTTCTTAGTCACTTCAATTTAAAACTGAAAACGTCTAATGGAATTGTTCTGTCGAAAACAAAATCTTAATTTTGGTGATTAAGATTTACAAAATGGATATTGATTATTTAATACGGATATCGTGGATTTTGTGAAGCTAATATGAAAAGCACGTTTAGAAATATCTCTACTTAAGGCTAGAAATCTTTTTGTCTTCTTTCTTAGAGCAGAAGTAGATATGAAGAACTGAACATATTTTAGGTTTCAGAAACAAAAACAAAATTACAAATAAATGGCAAGTGAAAATCCTTCCTCGAGAAAAGAATTCAAATTATGATTATATCCCAAAAGATTTTCCGAAATATGGCACGGATTTTTCTCGTGTAAATAGTCATGGTAATAGCATAACTTTAGGCATGCAAATGAAACACCGAAATCCATCAGGAACAACCACAGATTTGTTTTGTAAGGCCTGCTTGGTGGCTAAGGTAGTTGTATGTTTGCTACCGGCTTCATTGGATGGTGTTTAAATCAAAGCAAATGATGGATTTCAACACAAACAAGTTCGACAATTAACCTAACTTCTCGTCCATCCTACACGACCTGTTTGAAGGGTCATGTGAGGCTTTAGGGTCCCATCCAGACTTTTCCAGACCTTTCAAAAAGCTTTGGTTTAATTAATTACCCATTCATTCTTTGATTATGAACTAATTTTTTTTTTCCAATAATCTCTTTTTATATTTCGAAAAATCTTTTGGGGTATAATCATAATTTAAATTCTTTTCTCGCGGAAGGACTTTCACTTGCCATTTATTTTTATATGAATTTTACTATATGAACAGTAACTGACATTGCTCGTCTGTTGCAGAGGAAAGCCTTTCCCAACTCCTTCTATGCCAACCGTGACTCTGCCGTGTCTTATCGGAAAATCCTTCAAGTCTGCCTCTCCGTCTTCAAACTATTACTTTTTATCTATTGAGCACAAACAACCTTTTGCTCCATCTGGTATCCTTTCTTCTTGTTCAACCCATCCCCATTTTTGTCTTTTAATCACTTTGATATCTCTTACTATGGCTCAGCCACGGACAAATGTCGATCCCCTCTCATCTCCTACATTTGCCATGATATTGCTCTTTTTGCTGTTCGTGTCTAAGTTGATCGTCATGTGGTTTTTCTAAATTTCTGTATTTTGTATCCGTATTTCAATGCTGGAACTATTACACATTTTTCATTTTAAAGGTACATTTTATTATGTGCCTGTTTTTAATAAATATTTTCCAATCAATCGTTATATGCCATTTTATTTGATTTTTATGGTTGTTTCTTGCCTTTATCGCCTGTGTGCCAAATAGATGCATTCAAGTATTTCTTCTAACTTTTCGTCTTCAATTCTTCTGAGTCTTTTCAAAGCGTTACATTTGAACACTTCTTTTGTTCTATTTCTTTGTTTAAACATACTTTGAGAATTTTCCTGCTCGGATTAATTTATCAACAGCGAAAATAAACATAAGGAGAAGCATAGAAAGCACAAAGGGAGTTGGAAAATCATAAATAAATAGCAAAAGAAAATTGGAACTGCTTTCATACATGCTGACAAAGTGAATACTTTAAAGATCTAACTGGCAGCAATAATTTTAATATAGGAAGAAATATAGTAACTATTTTGTAAAGAAGAATTCTTAGGTCATTCATTTGTAGATGGTCGGAGAATCAACCAGTTAAATACTGACAATAAAAATTAAAAAAAGATGTGGTTATTATTTTGATAACTCAAGATCTCACCCAAAACGGTTAGGACGAAAAACGCTTATCATCTCACCCAAAATGATTAGGGCAAAAACGCTTATAATCTCACCCAAAACGATGAAGCCAAAAAATGCTTATAATCTCACCCAAAACGATCAGGGCAAAAAACGCTTATAATCTCACACAAAATGATCAGGGCAAAAAACGCTTATAATCTCACCCAAAATGATTAGGGCAAAAAACGCTTATAATCTCACCTAAAACGGTTAGGGCTAAAAACGCTTATAATCGCTGCAGCGGTAACAGTGGACGACACTTAAAATACCTTTTTATTCACTTTCATAGAAAGTGAATAAAAAATAACAGAAAAATCATTTTCCATGATATTCGATGCGTGGAAAGATTGAAACAATTCTTTTCTTTTTTTGTTAAACCTATCAGAAAAGATAATGAGTAAATATAATTGCCACAAATCTTTATGGAGATGACATCGACCCCGTGTTCCACTTTTTAGGTCGCGTTAATTTTATTATTGATGTATAATAGGTTTTAGTTTGGTTCCTGTAGCTGTAATTGGTTTTGTCACAAATGATTAATTACATCTAAGCTTTGTTTTTCACGCGCATTGAGTCTTATTTTCACGGACAATTTATTCTTGTTCGAATTAATATTACAGAAAAGACTTTCTTCTTAGGAAATTAGTTGGGAAGACTCATTATCTCATGCTTGTCCATTCCTTAAAACATTATGGGATGGATATGTGCAGAAGTTCCACCGTGTACATGTAGGTCAGCATTAGATCTAAAGCCAGATCGATCTAGTGTAGATGTTATAATGGGTCTCCTATTTTAATAACATAGATACTAAATCGATGATGAGGCGGAAAAAGTTTTCATATGAAGTGTTCCTGACATTTTTTTTAATTCTAAAAATGAAACGATCATTTGTTTGATTCGATTTTTATGGTTTATAACCCCCCGCCACTTCGCAGCTAATTTCAAACCAAAAAATATTTTTTAGAATGTAAGAATTTTTTTATTTTTTTATTTTTTATTTTTTTGCTGTCGGAAATAATAATGGTTTAGTGATACAAGTTTTAGGAAGGACGCAGTAATAGAAAGCGGCTCTGAATGAGAAATCGGAGTGCCGAGTTCGAATTCCAGTCGAATCCATTACATTCACTTACGTGCTAATACCCTTGGGAAAGGTATTAATCCTCTTCTTTTACTCCCAACTATCGGTAAATTGCAGGACAGACCGGGTTCTATAGCCTTGGATGGCAACTGGTCTACCACAGAAAGAAATAGCAACGTACTGCGGGAAAAAAATCTGCCTCGTCATTCATGTATCGAAAGATACATGATTGCTTTTGCGTGTATCACGTATGGCACATAACTAAATGACTGACGTGCAGTAATGGATAGTGGCTCGTACTGAGAAATCGGAGAGCCGAGTTTGAATTCAAGTCGAAACCATTACATTCACTTACGTGCTAATACCCTTGGGAAAGGTATGAATCCTCGTCTTCTCCCCCACCAGCTATAGGTAAAAAGCAGGACAGGTTCTATAGCCTTGAATGGTAAATGGTCTACCGCGGAAAGAAATGGCAGCCTACTACGGGAAAAAAATCTGCCTCGTCAGTCATATATATATAGATACATGATCACCTATGCGTGTATCACACATGGCACATAACTGACTGACTGATACAAGTTTCACTAATTAACCCATAGCTGGGCAGAAGAGGTGGATTCGTGCCTTTCCTGAGGGTATTTTTGCGTAAATAAATATAAAGAACCAGACGGGAATTGAAACTCTGCTCTCCGATTAAGAACTCCGAAACATTACCCATTAAAACTATTCGTACATCCATACGTACAGAACCTGGTATTGCCAAGCGGTTTCCCATCTAGGTACTGGACAGGCTCGACATTGCTTAACTTCGGTGATCGTATGAGAACTCGTATTTCATATGCGCCACATAAAAAATGATCATGAAATCAGATGCGTGCGAGACTTCCGGTCAAGTTGACGTCCAACTGAAACAAATGGTGATTAAAAAAATAATTTTCTGTACAGTCAGATGATAGGACAATGGGCCAATCTTTAAGATATCAGTAATCTTTTCTATGAATTATTAGCGCTGTCTGGAATAATCGTCCCGGGGGATAGAATAAGGTACCCTCGGATTTATGGCATCCTCGGACTTGCAGCACCCTCGCAGTTATGGCAGCCTATGACTCATGCCACCCTCTGCCTTTCGGCACCCTCGTACTTGTGGAACTCTCGGACTTGCGGCACCCGCGGTCTTGTGGCACCCCGGACTTGCGGCACCTTCGCAGTTGTGGCAACCTCGGACTCGTGGTACCCTCGTACCTACGGCACACTCGGGATCTTGACACCTTCGGGCATGCGGCACCCTCGGAGTTAGGCATCTTCTGAGTTGTGGTACCCTCGAATTTATGTTACTGTCGGACTTGCGGCACCTTCAGTTGTAGCAACCTCGTACTCTTGACTCCAACTTATTGCACCTTCGGACTTGCGAAAACCCCTAGTATATGCTATTTTTGCTACGGGGTTTTAATAAACTTCTGACTGAATTGCGAATTTGACGAGAATTGTCAAATTTGACGAGAACTGTCAAATTTGACGAGAACTGTCAAATTTGACGAGAACTGTCAAATTTGACAAGAACTTTCAAATTTGATGAGAACTATCAAATTTGTCGATAATTGTAGAAGAAAACGCCTTTGTTTACCCTTTGGCTTCATTTCCATATAAATATTTACATAGTTTAGTTTCTTTCTCAAAGCAACATTAATCAGGTTTCTAATAAGAACTGAAATCACAACGCTATCAGTTTACAAATGTGATAGCTTAATTTAGTACAAAGCCATGATAATAGAGCACCAAATGATCATCAATTTTACAAGTACGCGAGATTTTCAGACCATTTAAGGCTGACTGTTTTTACATCCTTTATTCAACGAGAGAAAATGGTTGAATATTTATTGATAGCCAAACTTGAGTTACGTGTTTAAAGAAGCTGTAGCGTCATATATTTTGCAAGAAGCGCCACAGACATCAGTGTGAAACGAGGAATCGGTCCGCTTGTTTTAAATACCGGGCTATCCTATTACGATAATGTGCTTGTGAAAGGCATGGATCCATATCTCCCCGACTATCAAAAACTAAGAGTTAAATAACAGGGTAGGAAGGGTTTTATAGCTTTAGGCGGCAACAATTCTAGAAGTAGAACTACTCTGAATTTAAAACCGAGAAGGGAACGGGAATCTACTCTGGTATCTTTCCTCAGAAGTTACGGCAATTCGCGTATAATAAAGAAATGGACACCGGGGAGGGTCATGATCATCTACGTCCTTGAAGAACATGGTATTTAATTTTAAAAAATAAAAATATAATTTAAATTTAAATAATATTTAATTTTAAAAAATGAACAAAAGAACCATGCAAAGAACGAAGCAAAGAATACAACGTTTGTCCCAGAAAATAATATCGAAAAGAAAAAAAAATATTTGTGTTCCAAACAACGAGACAGATCGATTGATTAAAATTCCTGATCAAGAACATTATATCTGCCTTTAAATCAGCTATAACTCATGCACATATCGAAAGGTAAGAAATGTGTCACGTGACACTCTGGCACTAAATGTAAGTCGCTTCTCCAGTTGGTGCCAACTCATCTGAACGACATCACATCTAATCCAGGCTTCAATCTCGCTCGTTGTTCATGGACTACGTACATCAGAGAATTCAAATACGACCAAATCAACTATCAAGTAAGACCTTGATTCACTTCCCATTTCCACATCTGCTTATGTGTAGGTGTTTCGCTGCAGGAAAAAAAAAAGGCACAATAACATTCAAGTTGTCTAAATATGTAAAGTTGTTTTCTTTTATGTATACGTGCATGTCCTTGTCCAAAGTGGTAATATATCGTTGGTATGATAATGATTATGAGCAAAATTCTTCTCTGCATTGTTTTACATACCGTGTCCCTTCAGGACGTGGGCGATCATGGTCCTCCACATCTTCCTGTCTCTTGTAGGTCTTAATAAGTTTTGTCTGTTTTGTTATTTCTCCCAAGCTGTTTCGCCATCCATTTGCTCAAGCTCATCAAGTATGTTACGCGCTGTTTTCCTCTGTCCCGTTTGCCTGCGCTGTGAGTATCAGATTTTCTAAGCCCTCCTTCCTCATTACGTGTCTCAGAAATTTCAACCGCCTATTCCTAATGTTAAGTATAAGTTTCCTTTTTGTTTCCATTCTCTCCAAAAACACGTTGTTGCTCACATGTTCGGCCCATGGTATCCTCAGCATCCTTCTGTAGAATCACAATGCTTTTGCTCCAAGTTTTTTCTTCATCTTTGAGGAGATGTATAAAAAAAAATAAGAGAACTAACAGGACAAAAGACATGCTGCATAACAGGCTGTATAAAATGCAAGGACGGAACACTGATATTAGAGAGAGAGAGAAAATACTAGAAATGGAACAAATATATAAAAGAACTCTTCAATGACGAAAGAGAACAACCAGTAATAGTCAGGCATACTGACGGACCGGAAATACTAAAAACCGAAATGGAACCTGCATTGGACAAATTGAACAGAAACAAAGCGGCGGGGCCAGACGGAATTGTAATAGACATGCTGGCAGCCTTAGACAATTTCGGCATAAACAAGGTCACAGAAATAATAAATGAAATCTACAACAGTGGTGATATACTTGAAGACCTAAGCAGATCTATTTTCACAGCAATGCCTAAGAAACCAGGCGCAAACAAATGTGAACTCTACCGGACAATCAACCTAATGAGCCACATAACAAAACTCATCATCCGAATTCTGATGAATAGAGTGCACGGCAGAATCAGTTCAGAAATAGGACAAGAACAGTGCGGGTTCATCATTCAAACACCGGGACAAGGCACGCTCATAATGTTATCAGAAAGAGGAATGCAAATGCAGAAGGAAGTGTACCTGCGTTTTATAGACGACGCAAAAGCGTTCGGCAAAGTACGCCATAAATAACTGTTAGAGCTGCCCAGCAACCTTGACATATTCGGGAAAGACATTAGAATAATCAAGAATCTCTACTGGCAGCAAACCGCTTGCATTCGGACAGAAAATGAGTTAGCAGATATGCAAAAACAGAAAGGGGTGTAAGACAAGGATGTGTCTTCTCACCGGATTTATTCGACCTATACAGCGAAGCAATTCTAAGAGAATTAGAAGTGCTACCAGGATTCATTATTGGCAGCCACGGTCTTAAAAATATAAGACTTGCAGATGATACACTGTCGAGAAATTCTCAATTCCAAAAAAAAAGTCCAGTAACAGTGCATGCCAAGGAAAGGAGCCAAAGTACTTACCGTAAGTTGCGAAAAAATATTTCCTTCCGCGATGTAGCTTAATCGTCTAATAACTTGCATTGAATTACAAGAAGAACTATGAAAAGGAGAAAAAAACATCTCCTTTGTGACCACTTCAAGGATCACAGGGTCACGAGATCCTGTATCTATAAAAAAAAATTAGTAAAAAGGTACCAGCTTTTAGTCAACAAGAACCAACAACCCAGGTAAGAACGTTACTCCTTCCCCGGCCAGACACGGAAAGGAAACTATAAAACCTCCTACATAAGGTAGGGTAGGAAAGCGAGAAGACAGGACTAAGCATAAACTACAAGAAGACAGAATGCATGGTCATCTGCAAAAAGATGAGTCCAAAATGCAGATTACAGGTCAGGGATACTAAAATCAAGCGGGTACAGAAATTTAAATATCTGGGAAGTGTTCTAACAGAGGACGGAAAGTGAAACACTAAGATCCGAAGATGTAATGGGATGGTCAAAGATGCATTCCAAAAGCTAAGCAGAGTATTAAGAGACAGAAAAAATTCGTTGGAAACATACTCACCTCTTACGTGATATCTGTCCTCAATCTTTACCAAGTATTCAAATAAATCAATACTTTTGCAAGATATGTAACGTTGCATCAGTCGATGTTGGTTGTTTTTACATTTGGATTAGAGAATTGTCGGTCAGCAGTAGAAGAATTGCAGGGATGACATTTTGTTCTTTAACTGGGTGTAGAGATGATATCTTACAGGAAAGACATTAAACGTTGGCATCTCCAATCGACACCATTTAACTCTTTAGATCTCTATATGAAATACGTCCCGCTCTCCATCAGCCGTTGTAGTTTTAATCTTCGCTAAGCCTCTCCCGGAACACGAAGCCATTAATATCCAATGACCGTCATCTTTTTCACGTTGTCAGGTTCTATTTCGTGCGATATTGTGATCCTAGATTTGTTACTTGAGTTGGTTGGGAATTTAGGAAAAAAGAAAATAGTTTAGAGATCAAAGAGACGCGATGTAAGATAAGCTTTCTTAGTTTGTTTCTGCTGCATTCTCTATGCCCCGTTCGGTCAGTATTTAATTTCTTATATCTGCCTATTAGTTTGTTTATCTATGATGAGATATTATGTACACTATTTACATTATTCGGATTATTGCCCTCTTCTTTGTCGCCATATTTATTACAACGTTTTCGGCCGTTGGATGTCAGTTGTCAATTATCTCTCCAAGTTCTGAAATGCCTTAACCGGGTATTAAACTCACACCGTTTGTGTCCTGGTACTGGATCTAACTAACGCCTTTATCCACTGTGCCATGTGTCCTTGAATTTCTGGGTATTATAAACCTAATATCTTCAGCAAACATTTGCAATATGAGCAATGGTAAAAATGGTGGAGAACTTGGAGAGGGGAATTAACTGACAACTGACATCCATTAAAAAACATGCCACGTGGAACTAGAACAGTCTACCTCAGTGAGCGAAATAAAGGGTTCAGTTCGACATTCCAACCACCTGAAGGCCGGAGTGAACAAATGCCGAAACGTTGTAATAAATATGGCGACAAAGATGAGGACAATAGTCCGAATAATGTAAATAGTGT